CTTTGTCTTTATGTGAGGAGATGGGCTTCTTTCTAGACAAACACTTAGTTCATGGTCAACGGGGGTGTTAAGCTGCCGTGCACTAGCCGGCCATGTGCTGATGGTCTGCGTGGGCCCTGGTGCTGCACGTATAACGTTCACAGTGTGCTTTGCTCAGCCTGCTGTGAAACAGGAGTAGATCAGAGCATGCTAGGGAACTGCCAGTTGGCAGTAGCAGGGTCCACACAGACAATGTGTGGCAGGCTAGTGTGAGGTAGATTTACAGCCCAGCTGACTGCATGCTAATTGTTCATATAGACAAGCCGTGAGAGGGCCCAGACCAGAGGTGGAGTTGGCCAAGCCAACTAAACTTCAGGTGTCGGGTGTTCAAGTCCCACAAGTAAACAAAACATTTTAGCCTGGCCTTGAGCCTCTTTCACAGTGTATATCCACACTCACATGCTGGACATGGCCTAACCCTGATCTGACACCCATGGAATCAGACCCACACCGGGAGTCAATGGGCATTAGACTGGTTTATCAAATGCAATTGCAGTAATGTTACTTCAGTTCACTGAATGAGTGTGTGATGCTGGCAGACCAGGTGCCAAGACTTTAGGCTTCAGCTGAGCACTGACAAATTCATCGCTGGAAGCAAGTCTGTTTCACTTGTGTGATCGTATGGTTAAAATGGGGGTTAGACATATGGCAATGTGTTTAGCGTTCAGACTTTGTGAAATGCTTTTCAATTGCTGCATGCATTAATCTCACTTATAATATCTTTACCATATGCCATAAGGTAATAGTTATGTTTTTGCTTTGTAACTATAACAAATATTTGCTCTGGAACTGTGAACCCAGTCAGGAGGGATCCTCTCCTGCCCATCAAGAAGGCCGATCAAAACTAAATAGGCCATTGCGGGACATCACAATACAAAGGCTTTGTTAATTTCCCCTTACATCCCAAAGAGGCTACGTGCAAAAGGGCTCGTCCCATCAGCTTGAATTCTGGAAGAAGGAAAAAAAATAGCTGGACAGAAAATTTTTCATCTTTTGCTGTTTAGACACTCACAGAGCCGGAGCTATGAAACAGAAGCAGAGATCCCAGGGTCAGTGTGGGTTAGCCCTAAAAAGACCTTCACAGCTGACAGATTGCTACAGCTCTGTCACCTTTTGGAACCACAGACTAACTCATTTGTGTATATATGCCTGCCTGCTTTAACATTGTCATAACTCTCTCATTTCTTTCTTAGTTAATAAATCCGTAGGTAGTTTACTATAGGATTGGCTACAACTGTTGTCTTTGGTGTGAAATCTAAGGTACAAATTGATCAGGGGTAAGTGACTGGTCCTTTGGGACTGGGAGTAACCTGAATGTTGTTGTGATCTTTGGTCTAAGTGACCCTCTATCAGTAAGTCCAGCTTGCCTGGGTGGTGAGATAGACTGGAATACCCAAAGTGACTGTCTGTGACTCCATGGTAAGGCTGGTACAGTGCTGTAGGAGTTCACATTTGTTACTGGGTTGGTGAAATGACAGAACACACAGCCAGTATGGGGTCTCTGCCCTGCTTCTGGACAGTCTGGTCTGGGGTTGGCACTCGCAGACGTGAGCTACTCCAGATAGCATGAGGCTCCTTCATTAATTCACTTATCTTGGATCTGTAGGAGGATGGAATGTCTTTGGGCCAGGATTACGAAGGGATTTAGATGCTTAAAGAGGTACATAGTTGCCTAAAAGGACCTAAGCAGGTTAGGTACAGCGAAGTTAAGGGACTTGCCACAGAATGACTGTAACAAAACCAAGATCTCTAGAGTCCTCTGCTTTAGCTACAAGACCAGCCTTCTCCTCCTCTTCTCCACTGGGAAAGACTGGTGATACAGATGGCAAATGCTTAAAAACCTAATAACAACTCCTACACCACCTTTAAAAATGACTGGGGGTTAGAGGATAACGTTTAAACAATATAGACAGAAAAGCCTGAAATGTGAAGGGGTTTGCTTGTTATACGTGCAGGATACTGCATTAATTAGAGACTTTTCATCAGGGGATTTCAAAGAACTTGACAAACGCAGAAAGAAACCAATTTAAATATGCAGAGTTTCCATCCTAGATTATCTGAGCAGTCAGCACTATATCATCCTCTAGTGGCATCTGTAATTACTACACTCCCATGACTCTACAAAGGACACTGCATTATATTGTGCCAGCAATTTCTCATGAAGGGTAGCGGTCAAGTCAGACATTGGTTAGCATGATTGTTTGCAGAATGTTTTACATTAAAAACTAACCACCCTGTAAACAGACCTTGTAGATGACTATGCAGAGGTATATTTCATTATAATTAGAGCTATACAAATAATTGACTTTTTGGCTTTTACTAGCAATTCCAAAAAAATGAAAACACAATTGTTTTGGGTCAAACCAAAAATGATTTTTAAAAAAATGTTCAGTGAATTGGAAGTTGAAGAAAAAAATAATTTCAGATAGAACAAAGCATTTTGTTCAACCTAAAACAAAATGTTTCATTTTTGACTTTTGAGCATTTAACATGTTTGATTTTTTTAAAATTAAATTGAAGGAAATTTCTAATTGAAAAGTCATTTTGAACCCAAACAAGTGACGATTTCTGTTTGAAAATGTCAAAACAAAAGCTTTTGACTTTTTCTGAACTGAATTTTTGTTTTTGTTTTGCTTTTTTCGACATGAACAGATTTGGCCAACCCAGTATGAAGTCACAATATGTGTGTGTTGCTGAATCTGCATGGGTCACACACACACACACACACACGTCTGAAAAATTTCACCCAGCTCTATTTATAATCGATGAGTACCCAAAAGCAACCAGGGCTGAACATCCAGAATGATATTAATAAAAGTGGGTGCGAGGTATTGGAATCCTAACTGCTTCGTCTCTTGTTTACTGATGCTTGTAATACAGGAGCTTCATGTATTAGCCAACAGAGCTCTCATCTATTTAGGAGGATTTCATACTCTCTCTTACCCAAGAACCCCCCAGCTATTTTGTTTCTCAGGTAGAGAGATGAGGAATTGTTGGTGGGTGGAATAATTGATTCATTTGCTGGCTCTTAGAGGTATATTTAAGACTGCCTCTGTTTTTCTGCTAGGAGTCATAACAGTTGAAAAATAGGCACCAGGAAAGTTATAGTTCTGATCAATGTTACGGTGTTTGAACAGCCAACTAATGCTATTGCCCCGTGCGATAGAAGTCTGAGCATGATGCACACCTTGTTTCAACAGAGGCTTTGCCAATTATCTGGCCATCAGTAGGAAGGCAGCATGTTCCTCCTCCTGTGAATGTGTTAAGCAGAATTCAAGCCTTCAGCTTACACACAAAGAATCAGCTTCACATAGCAAACCAGCCCATCTGTGAGGATAGATGGAGACACACAAATGTCCCTGTCTATAGCCAAATGTACACCAGGCCAAATCCGCTTAGGCCAGCCCCAGTCACCATTCCCAAGAAAAAGGCTGAAGGGGGTTCTGCAGGGTGATGAAAACTCAGCCTAGTTCCCTTCACCGAAGCTCTGAACACGTCTTCTGTAACGAGGGGGGGTATGTCTGCCTGGGATAAAAGCCCCGCAACACAGCTGCGGCTGGCCCATGTCAGCTGACTCGGGTTCGAGGTGCTCAGACTGCAGAGCTAACAATGGAGCCTGAGCTCTGGGACCCGCCCCCCTCAAGCACCGAGATCCCCAGGGGGCCAGAACCACCTACTCCAAAGCTCTGTGCCTCAGCACTGACTCTGGTGCTCCTGCCCAGCCCTATCCCTGGAGCTGCACTGCCAGGGCGTGTCCGTCACTTGCTGCCCCTGGCCTTGGTGCCACAGCATGGAGGAGACACACAGAGAAGCTGATGCAGCTTCAGGCCGATTCCCTACAGGGCTGGGAATTACCAGACCCCAGTGGCTCTGGGTGGTCCTGCCCCCCACCACTCCACTCTACAGCACAGCACTTTGTACCATGGGGACCATGCGAGTTTGGGCGGACCCCATTCTAGGGCCTGGATCTCTTTACAGGTGCTGCCTGGATTGTGAGCCCCTGTTATGTGTCTACCGTGGCTGGCACAACAAGGCCCCGAGGCTTGACTGGGAGCCTCTAGATCAGTGGTTCCCAGACTCGTTCTGCCACTTGTGCAGGGAAAGCCCCTGGCGGGCCAGGCCGGTTTGTTTACCTGCCGTGTCCGCAGGTTCGGCCGATCGCGGCTCCCAGTGGCCGCGGTTCGCTGCTCCAGGCCAATGGGAGCTGCGGGAAGCGGCGCGGGCCGAGGGACGTGCTGGCCGCCATTTCTCACAGCCCCCATCGGCCTGGAGCAGCGAACTGCGGCCATTGGGAGCCGCGATCGGCCGAACCTGCGGACACGGCAGGTAAACAAACCGGCCCGGCCCGCCAGGGGCTTTCCCTGCACAAGCGGCGGAACAAGCTTGGGAACCACTGATCTAGATATAACTCTAATATGAAGAATTCAATGTGAGTAATAAGCTTAACCATAGTGGGGGGTCCAACTCATCCCTGGTGTAACCTCATTGACATTGATGGTGTTACATGAGGCATGAGTTTAGTACAGTGCATTCACCATGTTATACACCGGTTGCATTTTTTTATGAATAAGATAAAATGTACTTTTTTCCCCGTCAATGGCCTTGTTCACCTCACGCAACGTACAAGTCTCTTGAAGCCCAAAAGATCATGAATAATGCAAGGTGTTTGAGGTCGTTACCCCACACATCCCAACCAATGCATTTTCATGTCTGAAAGTTTAATCACTTCTGTGGAAATGTAACTTTCAATATTTCATTAGCATAGTCTCCCAGCTGTCAGACATCAGCCAAGAGGCTTTGGTGACACTTTCAGTGCAGCTGTGAGAAGATGCCTTCATTTTAGGTGGAATTGGACAGCTGCTTTATCACAAATTAATGAACCACAGTGACCAGAAAATCCAAATTTAGCAAATAATTTATTAACAATTAATTCTGACTACAATCAGAACTAGACAAGTGATTAGGCGCTTTCATGTGAGGCAATGACCTGAATTAAAAAGAAAACCACAGGGCAACGCAACAAGGCAAAACGCTTTGCCATGACAGTGCGTCTCTACATAAGGGCAGGTATCCTGAGATAAAGACCATTGCCCAGGGACCCAGCCACCAAGGTCAGCAGCAGAACTGCTTGATTGCAGATGCATCTTCTCTGGCCCCAGCACCTTTGAGCTGATATTTCCCTGATATTACACCCACTGGCTGTGGCCCAGCTGCTCCCGTGGACCAACCCAAACCAGCTTGATGCTACACCACATTCTCCCTCGTGAAAATAGGTCCACAGGGAGCGTGAACACCTCCCTGCTTGGCTGATCCACAATTTGCCTGCTCCCCACCCCGCTGCTAAGGAAGTACACACATTCTACTGCCAATCAAAGCTAAGCATGCCCACAGAGAGGAGACTTAGGGGTTTTTTAGGGGTGGGGGTGAAGACTAGATTTGTGCATAAGTGATTTTTAAAATTCAGCTCAGCCATTATTCCCCCCAGCAGATAGGCTCTGGAAGGTCACTTTTACCAAGCTTTCCACCACCCCTTTAAAGCAAGCTGCTAGAATATGGTTCGTTTGGATTGCTCTGATTTAGTGATACTGCTTTTGTCCCTCCAAAGACTGAGTGCCTGGCTCTGTATTTAGAATGGTGGTATCCTTCAGCAGAAATGCCAGGAAGTTTTCTATCTAAGAAATGTATATGGCTCCCACTAGTGCAGTTAGACCTGGTGAGGAATTTTTCACTGAACCATTTTTGTGCTAAAACACAGTTGATTTTGACGAATCTCCCAACTCAAAAACTTTTTGGAAGGAAGAGTTGAAATTGTCAGAATGTCCCATTTCAGCATCTTCTATCCAGAAAGTATTGGGGGTTTTGAGTCACAGTGACTTTTCATTTCAAAATTTTAGTAAATTTAGACTAAAAAAAGGTTTATAAAAAAGGGGGGGAAAGGCAAAATTGAAATAAAAAATACCTAGATTGCCCCCCAAATATTGTGGGTTTTGTTTGTTTTTGTTTGCAAAAATTTTTGAGATTTCAACTTTTCATCCTGATCTGGGATGGGAAAATTTTTTGAAACCTCAACAATTCCCACAGGGTGAGAAAACTGCTTCTGGCCTCGCGCTAGCCACAGTATTTGAGCACCTCACAATCTTTATTGTGTTTGCCCTCACAACATCCCTGTGAGGTAGTCAAATGCTATTACCTCCATTTTATAGATAGGGAACTAAGGCATAAAGAGTAAGTGACTGATCAAAGTCACGCAAGGAGGCAGTGGTAAAGCAAGGAACTGAAGCTGGATCTCAAGAGTCCCAGGCTAGCACCCAACCCTCTGAACCACCCTTGTCCTTTTTTTCAGCTGATTCCAAGCTGGCCAATGTCGGTTTGGAAAAAAGCCGATATACTGATTCTGACTCGCCAACTGAGGCCTATACAAAAGCTCAGAGATCAGCAGAAGGCTTCTAACCAAGTCTGCTGGCATTTCCACTAGGGTTTCAAATTTCATGAGTAACCAGTTTTCTGTCGGAAATCTTTGCCGTGACAAGAAGCTCCAAAGAGTTAGCGGAACGGAGGTGCGTGTGCCACATCTATAAATCACTTGTCGCTGGCTGCTAAAATCAATCCCGCCTTGATCACTGAGTTTTCATTGCAGCTGCCTCCAGTTCTGTCTCTGCTTCAGCCCGCCACATGGCCTTCTTTTCAGCATTCATCCTCAGCAGCGTGTCCTCTCTTCTCACAGCCTTTGAACATAAACGGTGAATCTCATTTGCACAATAAAATTTCCCCAACAATAAATATCCCACTTGTTTGCTTCTCTTGCTTTCAGTGTTCTTTTGATTTTTTACAATGAAAGAAGTTATTGAAGATAGATTTCCTTGCTTCACCTAATTGTCAGCATTTGGAGCCTCTGATTAGCAGAGAAAGCATATTGCCTTTGCTCCAAAGGCATGCAAACATCTAGGACAAACCGGGGCGGGGGGGGGGGGGGGCTTTCATCACTGAAAGACCCAGAAGCAGAGACCCTCTGGAGTTGTTTTTGTTTGCTTCCAAAGCCCATCCACCCATCCCTGTTTGTTTAATTTATTTCACTCATAGGCTTCAGGCCACCAGTTTCCACATCAAGGTTTCCCATCCCTGCCAGGAGGCCACCTGTTCCCACCTACGCTGAGCTGACGTTTCTGGAGGCTGTGTTCTTTCTGTGCTGTCACTCATCAGAAGGGTCACACCAGCCCAGCAAGGAATGGTCACTGCACACAGCTGATGCGTGTGTAATTAGACCACGGCGCTGGATGGTCTACCTCACAACCAGCAGGGCAGCATGAACATCAAGCAGCTGCTGAGCGATGCCGCCGCAAATGACAATTCCTCCAGGGCAAGCCGAGCTTGCGTGGTCTGCTCAGTGGGGAGTGTGAGCCCACAGCACTGGGGAAAGAATGGGCTGAGTGGCCTGAAAGAAATGGATACAGTGTCTCACTTAGGCCTGAGCCAAAGCCCACTGAAGTCAGTAGGAATTGTCCATTCTCTTTGGAGAGGACCTATACTGAGCCACAGAGAAATAACTGGTTTTTAAAGTTGCATTGCAATGGGTTATTGCAAAGTCAATCAGAAAGAATAATGGTCCAATAAGTCACATCACCAATACCATACTACAGCCAGAAACATGTGGTAAGTAACTCATCATCCCTAATATATTGGTTAATGTGTATTTGCTCAAAAAACCTTTGTATTTATTAAGAAAAAAGTCGTATCTGCACCGGTCAAACAGTGCGGTTGCTGACCAGTCAGTACAAACATACTTACTTGCTTGCCTGAGATGATCATGACCAAGCAGCCTAGCAGAGTCAGGGCCATTGTGATGTAGCAAATTTTGATCCTCGCTCTGTTCGTAGCAGCTTTGATGACTTCAGATCTGCAGAAGGGCAGAGCAGATATCTGGTCAAATGACAACAGCATGAAATAAAACAAGAGGGTTGGGGGGGGCAAGAGGGGAAAGTTGTTTAAAGAATTGCACAATTCTTGCCAGTGGCAGTTTATTTTGGTCAGAGGTCTTCTGGTTTCTTTATATTAATGGATTGTTAAACGAGAAGTTAACAGTCAACTAGCTGCTGCCTGAGGGGTTTAGCCAAACGCTGCATAAAGCAAACATCTGAAGGGGGCCCACCAGGGAATGAATGCTGCTCCTCTGCCTTTTCCTGACCCATTCAGGAGTGAAGAGCAGACAAGTGGCAGAGCTCGGAGTGCAATTTAATCCTTTTCATGACTGAAATCCAGGGCGCCACGTCCTCAGCTGACTGTGCTGATTTAAACTAGATGGGGGTCTGACCTCCATTGCTAATGCTACCTTTGGTGGGGCAACATGGCGCTCTGGCCTGGGCCAGGAACGCAAGTCTTGGCTAGGATTAAGGGAAGCTTTCACATTGCAGCTGCTTCTCATGGCGACCCCCCCTTGGGTCTGTCATTATCATCCTATCACATTCCAAGAAAAGCTCCTGCACGAGGCGCTTTTCAACGTAGAAAAGTCAGCCAAAGCAAAGCAAGCCGTCCAGCAGCTGCGAGGAGGATGGAAGCGAGTGGGCAGCAGCTGAAGGCTTAAAGCACGGGACAGTAGCACACCAGCTGGGAGGATTTTATGAAGCCCAGCGCATCTGCAACTGTGACCATCAAGTAACAAACGTTGTTAATAGCAGACTCCAGGGCTAGATTCTCAGCAGGGCTAAGTGAGCATCGTTCCCCAGTGCAGGTCACCTGCATCGTGGGAGCCAGTGTGGGGAGAGAAGCCACTTCTTGCACAGGCAGGTGGGCAGAGGAAAAGTCAGGAAGCAAATTGTGATTCTCAGAGGCACTGTCTGATTCCTACCCTGCTCCTGGGACATTGAGCTATGCTCTGCCCTTGACTTGATCTGGACCGTGTCCTTATAATCCATGTTTTATACTGGGCATCAGTGGTGACTGATCGCCAGCACCTCAGGGGCCATCCTGTAAACACCTGGAGACCTTTAACGGTCCCATGGGTCTCAATGAGACTCCCTACCACAGCGCGGTTAAGCCCATTTGTGCTTGCTTGCAGGATTAGGGCCTTGAATGGAAAACAAATATGAAAACGGAACAGATCTGAGACACAGGAAGAGGCAGATTCTGCACTAACCCCACCCCCAAATCAAATACACATTAGAATCAATCCACTTGTTGAAACCCCCATGTTTCCCCACTGACTCTGTTCCCCTCCTTCAGCAGAGAGCCCAGGGGAATATTTTATGTTAGAACACCCACTTTGAAGACATCTTTGTTTGATGTTTCTTTTCCTGGTGTTCAATTGTGTTAAGTGTCCACAACGGTCACTATCATGAGGAGTGAACTAGTCACTTCCCGGAGCTTCAAAATCTCACAGCAGGTCAAACATGATCTTAGGCAACAACTAACTGTATTGCAAATCCTTCCACACATCATGAGGGGGAAAACATACCACCGGTGCTGCACTCATGGGCACAAAGAAAGATGTGTGCTTGTGGGCAGGTGGCAGGTGGCAAACAAGCAGTCTGTAAATGCTGGGTTTTCTTGCTGCAGGCATTGGCATTTTTATGCAAACCCATGCCCATGTTAAAATGATTGGGACTATTCAAGGAATAAGCTTGGTCCCAGCAGTTCTGTTACTTAGGGTCCTCAACTAAGTGAGGTGTCCTTGCAGCTCAGACATCACAGCCCTGCACCTTGGCAGTTTTCCCAAACACCTTCCTACTAACACCAGGGGACTGCTTGAAATGGTCCTTGAGGCTGTAGATGGTAGATGCAGTCTTCCCAGAGACTTGTTAACTGTTCATAGTCATTGCTGAGATGTTTCTACTGGGCTCTGCAGATGACTGAGGGCACTTCTTCGACTGTTAGTTCTTGCAATAGACATTTTAGCATGACAGCTTAAGCCAATCACTCATGAAACTGTAGCAAAAGAGTGACTTTAATTACATCTGTATGGGGAAAGCATGTGTTGAGGACCCGGTAAAGAAGCCCACCACCACCACATAAACACACCAATGTTAAAAACCAGGTGGCATTAATGTCTCTACACACTGAACTGATGTTCTTTTTCAAAAAAAGATCTAAATAGGGAAATGAAAATATAAACTGGCCTGATGGAAACTCACTTCAGACGTTGTTTGCTAAAGCTATGGATGTTCCCGATTCAGAACAGTGGTTAAAGCACGTACCCTGAAATGGACATTAGGCAGCTCAGTGATTTGTGAGCTACCCAGCAATTTGTGTCAAAAATGATTTCTGTCCTCTTCTGAAATTCCTAATCTCCAGAGCAATTTAACTCAGTTCACCTTACAGAGTTGGCAAAAAAAGCGACTGCTTCAAGATGGGCTTGTATCGTTTTTGTACTGAGACAGCAGTGCGCCCACACATTTCATTCACGGTCACGTCGTCCTGTTGTACTATTAGAAAAAAGAACGCTCATTGTGTAAGCGTAGCGCTGGCGACTGGCCACGCAAGGGAAGGTTTGAACTGGCCGTTCCACACATACCCAGTGGTGGAGATTTTGACAACATAAGAAAACAGGTCTACTTACGATACTAGAACTGGAATATCCTCCTCTTTTTTAAACCGTCCCGCCCATAATAATATCTTTTTATCAAATGCTGTAGGTCTCCTGTCATTTCTGAATGTGTCACGGCCTGTAAAAGATAGTACCAAAGAAAGTCATCAGCTAAGTTAAGAGTGGAAGTAAAAAGCTGCATTTAAAGAAAAAGAGCCTTGGGCTGAAAGTTTAGAGAAGGGCTTCATGTGCTCGAGGACACCTGTCATTAAGGGCAAACCCACCCTCAATTAAGATCAATGAGATTTAGCGACTCAACTCAAGGGCCCTGTCTAGACATTTTCTTTTGTAGTTGTCCCCCATTGCAATTCAGCTGGTGCTAGCAACGATGAAAGGGGTTTTTTAGTCATTGTGTAGTCTAACCATTGCCAGCGATGGTTAAAATACCAGTGGCCGGTCTACTTTCTGGATGGGCACTCTGCCAAGCAAGCTGCAATGGTGCAATGTTCACGACAACACTACAAGAAGTTAGAAGATTTCATGTCATGAATTGTATGGATTTTTCCAATTCGGGGGCAAAACGTAGATACATAGGATGAAACCCTGTCCTCACTGAAGTCAATGGCAAGATTCCTATTGATTGCAATAGGCCAGGATTTCACCCACAGATTTTTAAGGCCAGAAGGGACGTTAGATCAGTCCAGCATCAAGCCCATAAATGAAATGAAAAATCTTTAATTTAAAAAATGTTGGAAGGAAAAATTAACTTTTTCTTTGGTGGGAGGGAATTTCCATTCCATTTATGAGCCTTTTCCATAAAAAAAAATGTTTCAAAGAAATAATTTTGAGATGTTCTATTAAAAATGGTGCTGCGGGGGGGGGGGGGGTGGAGGATAAGAGTCTAGTGTGGACACAGCCAAGGACTGGCTCCAAGTGCCTTGTTGTTAACTGCAGCCTGGCCGCTGTGGGCTGATTTTGCTTGGAGCCCTCGGATGAATGGCGAGGGAACGAAGGTTCTTTCTCTCTTTGAGGGCAGCGTCACAGAAAACGTACCACAAGGTCAGAGTGACATTCTCCCCACCGCGGTGAATGGCTTGATCTGTACTTTGATCCCAGATGTAAATGGCAAGTGTCTCGCCCACCCCAGTAATTCCCTTCACTGAAATCAACAACACACATGGCTCCCAGGAAAAGCTTTGCAGCAAAAACAGACTGTACATTATTTATGTTTGTAGAAAGAAAGCCCCAAAATAAATTGCTGGTCTGAAACTATAGCCGCTTTTCAGCATTACCGCACACAGGTCAAGCAAGAGATTTACAAGGAGATGCTCCCCCCCACCCCCTTCCAGTTCAGTGTTCGGAAGTCAGAAACACAGCTCAATTCCTCCTCCTCATCTCTTTGTATTTGATTGTATCTGTGTTAGCTGCCGCATCTAGTACACAATGTGCAGCTGCAGGAGAGGCTGCTCTGGTACCGAGCCGGAACCGAACAAACTTCAGGCCTGCCCCGCGCTGACAGAGTCGCACTCCTCCATCACCAGGCATGGCCACTGCTGTAGTTTCCCCTCTTTGCTGGTGTGACTAGATCAGTTTTGCGCTTGGGCCAAACCAGCAAAAAATTCTCCCTTTCCAAGGTTAACAAACACCAAACAAAAAGTCCACAAAAGGTGTCCGTCTGCCCATTCTTCCTCTGTGCCAGGGGTATAATCGCACCACTTCAGAACACCGCCCTGCTGCCATGGAAGAGTCTGTGCTTTTCCACTGCCATGCCCCTGAACCAGCTGCCCCAAACTCAACCCTCCCTGTTTTCTGTTTGCCCCAGGGCCACTGCCAACATTGGCCTCCTCCCCAACCCTTCCCAGGATTCTCCAGTCCAGCACCTCCATGCTCCTTCTACCCCTCCCCGAGACTGGGACCACCACGGGGCACACCCAGTCACTGCAGAGCCTCCCATACTCTCCCCAATATCTCTTTACACTGAGCACAAGGGCTTTCTGATATCTCTGCCCCCTTTCCCCACTTGCTCTGGTTCCCGCTGAATCTTTCTGCTCTGGGCCAGAACTTGAGAATGTCCTGGACCCATGCCTGCCTTCCTCAAAGGTCTTATCTATCTTCCTTTCCCATTCCTCTCCCCCAGGCAGATGCTCTGACTCTGAGAGCGGAGTGGGATGTTTTGCTGAAGAGAGTCTTGTTGACCAGGAACCCTGTCTCCTGTTTCGTCTTGTTTTTAAATGCTCAAAATAGTGAGGTTTAGCAAACTGTCTGCTGTGTTAATTCCTTGACAATGTCGCCATTCCACAAAGAGAATGAGGAGGGAGGTTGTGTTAAGATACAGTCTATTGGGAGGCTGACAACATGCTTTCATGAGAGCCAATGACAGGCACAACCATTAGGATGCATTGCACCACACGAGATTATCCGGGGGAGCCCATTGGTATTCTCTCTCAACATGTGTCACTACAAAGTAAGTTCTGTGCCCCAGCCTGGAAATGCGTTCCCAACATTGGGTCTGAAATGAGGCCAGTTGAAGTAAGCCCACTGTGAAAGAATAACAAGAAATGGCCAGCCGGATGCCAGAGCACCTGGTTTTCCACGGCCTTCTATCCCGCACAGTTAGAAGTGAGCCGAGGAATCTGCTCTGGCCGTGTGGAGCTGTAGGTGACAACTTGAGGCACAAGGCAGGAGAAAATCAACCCCCCTGAGCCGAGACTATGCTGCTTGAGTTTGAAAATAAAGAGTGGCGTTAGAAGCACATAATGCTCTGTGTGGGGGTAGGGGAGGACGGGGTGCAGCTGATGTGGCCAGCTCCCCTTGAGCTCCCCACGTTGCTAGTGGTCACAATCACTGCTGCTCTCCCTGGATGAAATGCACTCTGAAGCTACATACAGACTTAGGAGACAGAAGACAAAGACCATCATTCCCTGCTGAGTTTACCTGGATAAATAACACCACATTGTTCTGACCAAGGCCTTTCTTTCACCCCAGTTTTGAGAGAGGCTGAAAAATTCAGAGTATAAACCCTGCCCCCCTTTCTCACACAGTGAAGGGCCCGGGGGGGGGGGGGGGGGCTTTTACTGTCCCAGCCCTGGGGAGAGGTGTGGTTCAGAGGTGCGGGACACACTGCTGGCTTTCTTAGCATGGTGAGTCAGTGACAGCAGAGCAGGCTTGTAAACCAGCAGGCTGGGGCAGGATGACAGCCCATTGCAAGGCAGGGAGGGCTGGAAGCCCAGGCAATCAGCCATCCCCAGGGAGTCAGCTGGAGATCCCCAATGGCTACTAGCCTCCACCCTGCACCCCGACTCTTGGCTGCTGAAGCTCCAGGGGAATTTTGTCAGGGCCAGCCCCCGTTCAGACAGGCAGCCAGACCACTCTCCCACCCCCTCCCCCAGGCCAGGTTGCTGAAAGCTGGCAGTGCAGGTTAGGAAAGGAGACCTCGGCAGCCAGGGGTGACACTGGTAGGGGTGGAGGTGGCTGAGCAGCTGCTGCAAGGTACCGGGTATCATGGCTGCTGGAGAAGCTGCTCAGCAGGGCTCATATGGAGCGCCAAGCAGCTACCCCACCCTCCAAGCCACCTCTCCCCATGGGAAGGCTGTGCCAGCACGAACTGCCCTCTCTCAAGATAAATCCCCACTCCAGGTCTCTCTAGCCCAGGGAGTGCAATTCAGTCCGCTTCCTGCCTAGCCATCGTTCTGTGCCTGAAAACATTACCTTCACTTGGTGCCTGCAGGAGCCCTCAGGGACACAGAACCTCGGCGCTGCCTGACCCAAACCCTTCCTGCACCGAGGCCATAGTTCTCCCACTTTCTAACGCTCCCACTGCTGGAAGAGCTGGGGGAGAGACCCCGCTGCCAGAGGCTGGGTTGAGACCTACCTGGATGCTACAGGACGAACCCTGGGTACCTGAGAGCTGCTATCAGGGTATATTTGTAAACTTAAGGTGACAATTTACTTTGCAAGGCCTGAGTCTAATAGCAGCTCCACCAGCCTCGGCCGACTGCCTACAATAATATGAATAGCTTCTCTTCTAGGACTTCATTACTAGGGCATGAATAGATACATCTATTTCCTGGCTGGTTTGTTTTTTAATTTAACTAGTTTACTTCCATGAACTGGGAACATTTGCTTTGATGGAAGCAGGACTATTTTTAAATGGAAATTAAGAAATTGTCCATGTACACTGTAAAAGGTGGGGCTGCCAGAGACTCTGTCTCAGAGACTTTGTGGTACCCACAAAGAACATACAGAATCTCCACAGCTTAGCTAGAGGATAGAGAAACGGGTCAGTCACTAGCCATTTTACTGTAAATTATGTGAAACACAGAACAAAACATTTCTACCCACCTGGAATAGCTGTTTGAGAAATAACCTTCTTTGTGGCCTCCGCTTTGTTACAAAGCGTTCTTCTTGTCTGTAACAATATCTGAGCATCCTTGGTACATGGACACCTCCAGAAATCGGTTGCTCTCAAAATACCTGTGACAAGAGGCTTACTTTTCAATAGCCGCCCCAACATTGTGTGTCCAGTGCTGAAATGTCCACTTCTATCTCTCGTGCTTCAGTGAATAGACAACTCAGTAGTAGCCATTTACTCCTATAGACCTGATGTTCTGGCCAGCACACAGCAAATCAAAATAAACTTGCCAGGTGTTCGAAGGTTAAATTGCTGTATGTCCGCTGATGGTATCATATATTTACACCACTTACCAGCTTCGCTGAGTCACAATGACTTGAGCAATAGATCTACTGCTCGTGTTTGCTCAAAGACACACCTTTAAAATCACAAGGGCAATAACCCTAACTGCTCCTGCCTATGTACAATGGGCCTAACCCAATTCCTGTTTAAGTCACTGAGAACTATACGTCTCACGCTCTGTAGCTCCAAGGAGCTGCCAATGATTGTAAAGATTTTGCATTTCTCTTATACCCCCATGACCAGCAACAACAAATTCTGTAATGACTGTATCGATCAAGAACTGAAATCTCAGTTTGTGTTAATAAAAGGACTGATGTAAAAGATGCTTTTTCCAAAGGGAAGTTATGTAGCTGTTAATTGTCATTTCAGGTTAAGCCTACGAGAAACCTTAACAATCACACACATTTTATCTTGAAAACCAATTGATTTAAACATGAGTCTTTAAGAAGGAGACACTTCCTTTGTTACTGAATAACAGTAAGTATAGGCTGGTGGAGAGAGAACTTATCATGATTAAAGCTAAGATTTTGTCATGATTATTTTTAGTAAAAGTCACGGGCAGGTCATCGGAAATAACCAAAAATGCACGGAAGCCCATGACCTGTCCCTGACTTTTATTAAAAATAACTATGACAAAATGGAGAAGGAGGAAGGTCCAGCGCCCACCGCTGCTGGGGCTCCAGGGTTTGCCCCCCACCCAGGGTGGCTGAAAACGCAGGGCCCCTCCCTGCCACGGGCAGCAGTTTGGAGCTGTGGGGTCTGCCCCCTCCCGCGGGGACTGGAAGCTGCAGGGCTCCCCACGGCAGCAGCTTGGAGCTGTGGGGTCCCCCCACTGCCTGCACCAACTTCCATAACCTCCGTGACAATATCTTAGCCTTAATCAAGATATATTACTGGCCCTGGATTTCAGTGGATGTCACAGTACTCAGCTCTTTGTTGTTATTGGCCATCCATTAACTAATTTATCTCATGTACATCAAAAAGAAATGATTAAAAACCTCAAATTTGCAAGCGGATTGATTGCATGCCAACCTTTTGGTGATGAGAGCAGTCTGAAGAGAAGAGAAGAGAAGAGAAGAGAAGAGAAGAGAAGAGAAGAGAAGAGAAGAGGACTAGGCAGCTGGCAGTTTCAGTTCTTAGGAGTTCTTGCCTCCTGAATTAGTTGCTGTGCATCTTGTGATAAATCCCCAAATACAAAGCAAAATTCATCTGACACCTTTGTGTTATGCCTGGTTTCAAGTAGAAGCCACTCAGAGCCACTCAATTTAAGATGCTTTCCACCAGAAGCCACAACTTCAGACAGTTGTGTCTGAAACTTGGCCCAGGGTCATGAGTCTCAGGGCTCCTGAAAGCAAGTTGGTATCTGCCACAACAACTAAAAGTAAGCAATTTTCACTTGGTTCTGGGTTTTGTTACAAACATTTTACAAAATTTTGTTTTGAAAAAGTCACTGTTGTGATCTTTGAGCAACATTTCCAAAGCTCCTGGAGCTTCCTAGGAGCCAGGGCTGCCAGGCTGTCAAAGAATCAAGTGGGCAAGTGAACAGGAAACCAGGCAGATTTCAAAACCTGCCTGGCAAGCAAGTTCCGACTGGAAACCTGCCTGCTTGCTGCTGGAATTTTGTCAAAATGGGACATTCCCGCAGAACTTTTCTGTTTTGACAAATCAGCATTTTCAGCAGAACAACATTCCATCAGAAAATTTCCACCCAGCCCTGGCTCTGATGTCACTGACTAACCTCCCTGTAAATGAGAACTTGGAAAATGATCCTATTCATATTATGCACTCTCTCTTAGCTGTGCTGGAGCTGCAGAGCAAAGAGGAGGACATCATCAAAAACTTATTTGTGTTCCCAAACAGCTAAGAGGTTAACCACAGAGAAGGAGGCAATCGAAGGAGAAAGTGCCCGTTTTGCACAGTAACATTTCAGAGCAGAACCAAACTTGCAATATTTTGTAGTCACCAAAGTAAGAAGAGTATGTGACAGTTAAAATTAGTCTGGCTACAGTATAGCATTTTGTAATATTGGTCCTTGAATGGAAGTGATCACTGGACCATAGCTGTAACCTAAACAAAGTCTGGGTGGTCCTGAATGTGTTTAATAATATCATCCCTATTAAAATGTTATACACACAGAATGAAGCATGAACACTGTCATTTTATCAGCTTGATGTTTCCCCTTCTGGTTTTTGCACAATATTCTCTCTAATGGTTCATGAAATGAAAATGCAAAATAAATTTCCTATTTAGAGTGCTGTGTTATTTACTCTGTTTATATGTATGAGGCTCTAATGTTGATTTATAGCCAAGAAAAAAAATTCTAATTTGAAGGGAAGAGGCTTTTGCCAGAGGGAAAGTTTTAAGAACCATTTAACGCTATCAAATTGAATATTGCCTAAGACAATCAAAGCGTGGGGGTGGGGGGAGGTGTGATAGAACACAGATTGTGTTGTTGGTTAGGATGTTCTTTAAGGAGTTGGGTGGTGAAAGATGGGAGACAGAGGGAACAAAATGAATTACTCAAGCTATTCAGCCCTTGGCCCCAAGGGAAAATACTCCTCTGTTTATAGAGATGTTTTATGTTTTAGAAAACATGAATTTATTGACATTGAAGGAAAAAACTTGTGCTGATGACAATTTACTGCTTTTCTCCTTGATGAAAAACAGACAATGCACCCAGACATAACACAATGTATTTAGCTTAATTTGCTTGTAATTCAGTAAAGCAAATTAGATCCATTTCCAGATTACAAAGCCATACAGCAACTAAATGGGAGCTTGAGCTTCCAGCTGCAAACTCTGCTGCAAGTTAGACCTGCAAGCCAACGTTACTCAGTGAACGTGATTATGATCGAATAGGCACAGCAGAAACCTGACGGGCCGGCTGGGAATATCAATGGAGCGAGACAACTGAGGGAAGATGGGCAGAGGAGAAGCGGGGAAGGGGGTTGGTTTAAGAGAGACAAGTTTTACATGCAGGCTTTGGTGCGCATAACTCTGCTTGCTGCTCCGAGTTTCTCATTTCCTTTAGGAGCCATGCTGCTGTGCCATCATCCCCCTTCCCTTACCTTGTGGCTGCACAGCAGAAATGTCCAGGGGAGTCTCTGGGCCTTCCCAGCACTTATGGACACTAACTCCTGTACAGAAAACTGAGGTCCCAGCGTGGGATTGCCCTTCAGAACTCACTCTGCAGAGTCGGGGGCTTGGGATGTGGGGAGCAGGAACAGGTCTCCATTTGCCACGCTTAGAGCATCTTGCATTCTAATTCCTTCTCCCCTCAGCCCCTCCTGTGGGGGAAACCTGGGGTCCTCAGCCTTCTAGGTGCCATTCGGGGCCCCGGTTCAGCAAGGGACCTAAGAATGTGTGTCACTTGAAGTATGCACCTTGCTGAATCCAGGCTTAAAATGCTTGTTGGTACTCAGATCAGTGCTTCTTGTGTTTAACACATCCCAGGCCCTGCACAAAAGCAGAGCCCCACCTCAATGAATAATCTGGGCCCCGGGGCAAGTTTCACTTTAAATGGAGTTCCCAGAACAGCTCATTGCTCAAATGTCTGCTTTTACCCCGTGTTGTGGTCTGAATTTAAAAAGGAGAAATTATCTTTTTTTTTCTTCATGTCGTCTCTCTCAAACACAGAGAAACCAGCAGCTTTTGCAGGCCCCCTGTGTTTCTCCGCCGAAGGGTTGTCAATTGTTAAGGAACAGCCACTCACGGTGATAACAATCGTGTCTGTGGGGTCAGAAACAGCACTTCAGGATGCGCAAAAAACAGACATATTCCCTGGAAACCACAAAGGCATTTACTTGTCCCTGAAATTTAGTGGTGTCTCTTGCACCGATTGTGCAGGGGTGAATTTTACTTCAGTCTAGGTGGGAACATACAAAGCTCTATGTACTCCTTAAGCCCTGTGTTTTAAAGGCCAAACAATGAGGCCTGTATTCAGTTTTTAAGCAAGTCAGGCAGTACTCCCATCGACTTCAGTGAGAGTTTGCTTAAGTAATAACTAAGACTGTCAAACTGGACAGTCTCTACGTAAAAGAATAAATGGACACAAATCAGACGTCAAGAATTATAACATTCAAAAACCAGTCGGAGAACACTTCAATCTCTCTGGTCACTCGATTACAGACCTGAAAGTGGCAATTCTTCAACAAAAAAACTTCAAAAACAGACTCCAACGAGAGACTGCTGATTGGAATTAATTTGCAAACTGTCTACAATTAACTTAGGCTTGAATAGAGACTGGGAGTGGATGGGTCATTACACAAAGTAAAACTATTTCCCCATGTTTATTCCCCCCCCCCCCCCGTTCTCCTGCTTGTAATAGCTCATCTTAAGTGATCACTCTCCTTACAGTGTGTATGGTAACACCCATTGTTTCATGTTCTCTGTGTATATAAATCTCCCCACTGTATTTTCCACTGAATGCATCCGAATGCACGAAAGCTTATGCTCAAATAAATTTGTTAGTCTCTAAGGTGCCACAAGTACTCCTTTTCTTTTTGCAAATACAGACTAACACGGCTGCTACTCTGAAACCTGTCAGTAAGACTGAGAGCGAGACTGACTTCTGCCCTTCCCCTCCCCACCCACATTCCCAGCCCTCTGTAGCTCCTTCTTCTGTATCCCACTGGGCTGGGGGCTGTGTGTGAGGAAGGGGCCAGGCTAGTGTGACATTCACCTTGCATAGTTGTCTTCCCCTCACACACACAACCTGGGTTCAAAATGGTGTCTAAAGCTGGGTGCAGCCTTCTACCTTGCGGCTAATTCCCCCTTTGGCTTCTGCAGAAACCAGAAACTTGCAATGGACCATTTTACAG